TTTTTTTTTTTTTTTTTTTTTTTTTTTTTTTTTTTTTCTGGAAGTCTCAGTCTTTTGATTGTGTGTTTCCTGAAAGCAAGACCAATCATTTCAGTTTATTCACTGGCTAAACTCTACTTGATTGGGGACAAGCACACAAACCATCCATTACGATCTGATATATTATCCAAACAATTTAGTGTATTCATGAGGTAACCTAAATGTGGAGGCTGCAAAATTACCCGTAATCAATTGAAACAGCGAGTGCGCGTCCCTCTGTGTGTCTAACAACTACATGTCTCTGTAATAAGGCAGACATTAAATCATTTTAGAGTTGTACTGTTGAGTACCTGATCACTGGGCGCTCTGGGAAGCTGGACAGTCACATTAGGACGCTGGGACTGAGGAAGCCGCTGCTTTTCCAGTGGGATAAAACCCGATCTTCCTTACTCAAGGTGCTTTACAGATCCCCACCGATCTGACCCTAAGCCGTGCAATATCCAGCATAGACTTCGTCTTCTTCTTCTTCTTCTTCTACTCTTCTATAATTTTTTTAATATCGTTGTTGGCGCTTTTTTTTTTTGTTTTGTTTTTATTGCACTACATGTTTGGGAAACAAGACAAAATGGACGTTAGATGCAGTTCAGAGACTGAAGCTAACCGGGTCTCGAAGAACGGACATAAAGAGGGCAAGGAAAGCAAAGGGTCTGAAGGAAATATTTCTACTTCTTTTTTGAAGGATCAGCAAGGGACTTTTTCTGCCTCTGCAGCTACGGAAGGTTGTAATAAAAGTAAATCTAGTTCGGCTGATCCGGACTATTGCAGGAGGATCCTAGTTAGAGGTATGAGTTTGAGGTGTTTGGCGAGGGTGGGGGAAGGTGAGCCGCGCTCACGCCCGGGARATGGGTTTATTTTGCTGCTTTGCCTTGGGTCTGGCCCTGGGCTGAAAGCCTTTCCTACGGCTCCGGGAAAGAGACCCCGCTGCCCGGYCGGGCTTTGCCCTGGACCCGGTTCCCTCCGGCTTTATCCCGGGGAATTTCCGCCGGCGTCTTGGCGAAAAGTTAAGCCGCGGTGGTTCCTCCCCGGCGCTGCCCCGGAACGAGCCAGCCCCGTTTATTGTTGTTTTGTTGTGTTTTGTTTTTTTTCTCTCCTGCTTTGCAGCTTTCCCGGGGTGCCCTTCCCCGGGGGGATCCCTCGGGGGGCCGCGGCTCTGCCCCGCGGGTCGGGCGCGCTCCTTCCGCGCCCGCGCATCCCTCCCGCAGCCGGGCGCGTACGATGGTGCGGGGCTGCGGGCAAAAAGGCTCTCTCGGAGGGCAGAGGTTCTTTCTGTACCCCCTCTCTCCGTGCCCGGCAGCCCAGAGGAAAGGGCTGGTTTAAAATAACCACCGGCCTTAAAAATAAATGGAAGAATGACGAAGGGCTTTTTAATTATTACTTTTTTATAGTTATATGGTTAATTTCCCTCAATCTTTGTCCCTTCTTCAGGCTAAAATAATTAAATCATCTCATTCGTACGCCCTCGAACAAAAATTATTTACCTGAAGAAATTTCAGTTTTATTAAGGTGCGTTTTGGGGGAGGAGGGAGAGAAGAGAATAGGAACAAAATCGGTGGGAAGCAGGCCTTGGAAGCCAGAATTAATCCTTCTGCCACTGGTTGACCCAGAGAGGGGTCAGATTAAAACGATGTGATTGTCTCTGATTTAAAACGTACCGAGGAGGTAAAATTACGGCAAGTAAAGTTGGGAAAGCTTTAAGGTAACCTGAATCTGGCTCTAGCTTGACGGTGGTGTTAATAAGATTTGTCCCGCTTTCCTTCAGTCAGAGCTACMAGAAAAGTGAGGTTTCTGAGGGCTGGTTGGTGTCCTGGTTTCTTTTTCCACCTCCTCCCCCCCCTGCTTTTTTTTTTCCCTGCTGTTTCCCCTYGGTGCCAAAACCCCAAAGCAGCAGCGGTGCAGGGTGGGCTGGAGGTGTCCCCACGTTCACAGTGGCAGGCAGCCAGGTCGGGGCAGTGCTGATTCTGCCCAGAAAGCTCCCGCCTGTTTTTTTGTTTGTTTTG